AAAAATTGTTCACTTCGCTCTATTTTTTCCAATTGCATTCTACTTGATTGATCTACGCTTTTTTCCCTTGACCTGACATTGCAAAAATTTCAATGTTATTGCAACAATAGTCGTGCTAATGGCAACTGGAAGACTTTAGAATTTATTCTCCCACCATTACTAACAATTCCGGTCACGACGAATCCGCGCGGCGTCAGCTATGCTTCCTGTGAATCTAACATGGTGGCTGTGCGTAAGAAGCCGGAGTGTCGATAAAATCGATTGCGTACATCTCCACACCTCGGAGGGGGCCGAAAACTTACCCTTCAACGCACAACGGTAAAAGAATAATCTACCGACGAAAGGTTTGCAATGTGAGTATTAACAGACCTTCGAAGAAAGAAATAGCTAAATACAGGTTTTCCGTATATATCTTGAAACTTTCACTTAAGAGGCTACCTACAACCATTAATAACCTGATGGATTGTTTGAAGTCCAATGTGGAAATACATGCGAAATACATGCGAAGTTTAAAAAGAAAGTGCCGGTGTTTTGTTTATTTATTTACTTATTTTTTTGTTTGCCGGTTTAAGATGTACTTGACCTTCAAGTCAAGAATAGTCTGGTTTTACCTTCAATCCATGATTTTCTTCTGAAATCGCGTTTAGAATTTCTACGTAGCCGATTCCCAGTGCATTGACAGGGATGAAAATCGTCTGCGCATGCGTGGCGTGAGCATGTTGATGTTGTCGTCGGCGAGTTTTTCGATCTTCTGATCAAGGAAATGTAGGCGTAGTTTAAACTGTGTATTTGTGGACATATTCTGCGTTTCAGGCTGGAATGTAAGGACGCTATTTGAAAATAACTTCTGTAAACTGAACTCGTCGACATGTTGAACGTATTTTTGGGAAATGTTCATTTGCTTGTTGAAGAGCCACCTTTCAGTACTCGGTAAGGAAACACATTGCAAGCTTAATTTCTTTGAGTATAATCTACCTCCATTTTAGATAATAAGCTAAGATTCAAATTGATAGAAGGTAAACAATACCATGCTTTGATAATAAATGTGAATCTCGAAAAAAAAACGGGACTTATAGTTTTTATCAAGGCGAAGCGAATGCACACCCATCCTGCACGGTGTTACATGAACAAGTCAAAAGCGCTGCAAAATATCGCGTTACCCCATGCATATCGCTCTCACTGGAACTTAACATTCGTTAAAGTCCTAGGAGTGTATTGGAAATGAATTATTTCCATATGGTATGAGAGGAGCTCCTATGAATGCTGCCACTCAGCAAAAGCCTCATGAGACCCATTGTTCTCGTGGATGTGCTACCAAAAAGAAAAATTCCTGGGAAAGTTGGAGTAAGTACAATGGTGTTGGAACTCAATTGAAAACAGAAGCCGGAGTTGCCTCAGGATTAATGCTGACAGGGAGTTCAGGACCAATATATGGTCCATGATACTGTTCAGTGCTCTAGTGCCTTGCAGAGGTTGTAGCGCAGAAAAATTTTTAGGAGTTTTGTGTGATTGAATCATAGATCCTGTCGCCTAGTAAGACTCCTCGAACAATTATTATCTGGTACACCCACGCCTGACTCAGTGGACTTCTTATTACAGAAATATCCAAATTGGATGAATAAAACAATTTGCTAAACAAAAGGGCAATAAGTGTACATGAGTTGCTTCCTCTTCGGCCAAGAACCTTTGACTGTAAAATAGTGCTCAGAAAGAACCAGAAAGTGACATTGCCATGTTGATTTGGTTGACTATTGACTGTTTTTTTTTTCGTTTTTAAGAAAGAAAAACTTTTTCCAAAAAAATGCAATTGATTTATCCAGCAACCTTTGTGGCATTACATGTTTAGAGTGCTGGATTGTGTTGTGCGGGAGGTCGAGGGTTCGAGCCCCAGCCAGACCAATACTCATGGTCTTCAAAATCACTGAGGAGAATTTGCTGTCATTGCGATGAACTCACCCTCACGCCTATCCTAATGCAGCCTGGTAATTCTATAAATTATAAATTATAACTGATGCGGAAAACCTCGAGAGCGGGGTTTTATCTGTAAGTGATCTCACATGATGCTTGTTTATCATCACCTTTTCTTAAAAAAAACTGTATTGATACGGTTGACTTTCTAGCGTAATGATATAAGCCTCGTCAAGCCCTTTTCGGCCTATTTACTCAGTTAGAGATTATGCACCCTGGTAGCTTTATTTAACGCATAGAAGTAATTTTTTCATTTCTCGATCGAAAAAGAACTCAACGTGTCGCAGAGTCCTATGACTTAGGAGTTTAGAGTACTGCCTTTTTGTAGGAGTTCTTATTTATCAATTTAACGTTCATTCATTATTTTAAATTAGAGGATATAATGACACAGTTTTACAACCATTCTCTGACGTGGTCCCTTGAATAAACAATCTGCCCTTTCATCAGACAATGAATCTAATGTTTGTCTTGCTTCCGACTTCTCGAGTCCATGCCATGTTTTTTGGGATTTTAATTGTTTCGGGGAGGTCTTGTCAAGTTTTTGGCGTACATTCACAATCCACTTTTCCAACATTTAAGATTTGATAGTATTCTGCATCAGTAACACAAAACCACGACTAAGACTTTTACCCTTACGGTTGAATTTTAGCCGAGGTATATTTCATGCAGATGGCCAGATCTGATCGATCAAATGAAGATACTTGACTGTCTAACACTAGGTTAGCAACGAATTGATTGAAAGAATTGACGCCTTAAACTCAAGTTTACCCTAAATCGTTGGCTCCACGAAATCTTGCAAAAATTATGGTCTGTTTCAATGTTTTTGCGTCTCGATAAGGTAATAATCTTACCATTTAAGATGGATTTTTTGATATCGTTTCCCCCTCAACTACTGATGCAGCACCAACACTTCCACAGCAAGGGCAAGTCACTCAATAGTTACGAAGTCATGGTTTGCAGCCTCAAACAACTTCCCTCCAAACACGATGTTGGGGTCCCTTCGTCACGGAATAAACAGTTCTCTGATGCGAGGAGATTGCAAGAAAATACTCAGGGCTGAGACTGACCCGATAACAATCGATGC